GGAATATTGATCTGTGTATTTCTTTTCTCATAATGCTTTTATCTGGCTTTGGTATCAGGGTGATGCTGGCCTTGTAAAATGAGTTTGGAAATACTCTGTCCTCTTAAGTTTTTTTGGATGAGTGTGGGAGAGATTGACATTAATTCTTCTTGAAAAGTTTGATAGAATTCACCAGTAAAACCATCTTGTCCTGGGTTTTTCTTTGTCGGGAGGTTTTTGATTACTGATTAAATCTACTTACTAGTGATTGGTCTGTTCAGATTTTCTATTTCTTCGTGATTTAGTTTTGCCAGTTGCATGTTTCCAAGAATTTATTTCTGCAGGGAACCTATTTATTAACCAAGGAGGGTAAAGACTAGTATGCTGAAAACTATAGGACATTGATGAAATAAATTCAAAAAGACACAAATAAATAGAATCTAATTTGTTGACCTATAATTGTTCATGATCCTTTGTATTTTTGTGGTGTCAGTTGTAATGTCTTCTCTTGCAGTTATGATTTTATTTATTTGAGTCTTCACTCTTGCTCATGGGAACAATAGTTGCTAAGATTTTTTAAAGAAACCATATTTTTCTGAAGTATAATTTATATAAAATGAACACATTAAAATTTAATTGGTTTTGACAAATGTATATATTATATATGTACTACCCAAATCAAAAGTTAGAACATTTTTGTCATGTCAGATACTTCCCAAGTTCCTTCTCGCCCATTAATTCCATTTTACTCCTGCTCCAAATAACCATTGATATAATTTCTATCTCTATTAATTAGTTTTACCAGTTCTAGGACTTCATGTACATGGAATAATATGGTATATACTCCTTTTGTGTCTGTTTCTTTTACTCAGCATGTTTCTTAATAAACTCTGTAGAGGTATAATGTAAATATAATAAAAGACATCCATTTTAACTATACATTTTGATGAGTTTTAATGAATATATCCACCTGTGTATCAGGTAAACTATCAATATATACTACATTTCCATCATCAAAAAATGTTCCCTTGTCCACCTAGTTGGTTACCTATCCCTACCCTAAGCAAATCCCAATGTGCTTTATCACTCTATACTAGATTTGTCTTTCCTAGACTTTGATATAAATGAAATAATGTGATACATACCCTTTTGGGTCTGGCTTCTTTGGTGCAGCATAACATTTTTGAACATTGTGTGTATCAGTATTGCTATATAGCCTTCCAGTGTAGGCGTATATCATGATTTGTTGATCCATTCACCTGTTGACAGATATTGGTATTGTTTCTGGTTGTGGTTTCATGAGTAAC